CTCCACAGATGCTGCCAGACCTGCTGAGCTTTACCAGCAATTTCTGTTTTTGTTTATCACTGTAGACCGTTTTTGTTTCAGAGTTAGGAGCTGATGATTGTGATTTTGGGAGAAGGGAAGTGATCTCCGCTCACTTGATCCATTTTCCCAGTTCAAAAAGATGTATCCATGCTGAACTTTTTACCTTAAATTGTGTATATATTCCAGCAGTTTATTTTGGTTGCATCTGTTTCCTGACCCTATTGAAACTTTGTTATATAGTTGTGGCTGAAAAGTTTGGCTTCAGTCTGTTATGCCATAAGCTGCGGTTTATTTTGTTGTGCATAACGTTGAACAATCAAGATGGGTTTTTTGCATTCTTAGTGGATGACAAATTTAGACAATATTGTTTAATCAATAATATTGAGGTCTTGATTGTTCTAGATCCAAGTCGTCATTTGTAATCTGTTGTCATACGTGTCTGAACCAGTGATTCTGTCTGTACGGTTGTTGCTGTGTAACCTTGCTCATTTCTATATGCAATCACAGGTATTCAGTGACATGTCTGTGGGAGAGGGAGAAATGGTCTGTGTTGAGCTAGTCGCCAGTGATAAAAACAACACATTTCAAGGAGTAATATTCCAGGGATCCATAAGATATGAGGCACTAAAAAAGGTCTACGATAACCGGGTAAGTGAGCTGCTCTTCTCCAATATGCAAACCTCAAATGGTCTCGTAGTCTTGTGGCTGAAATTTCACTAAAATTATATTGGCCCCTGCTGACAGCACACATGGAGCATTGTGTACAGTTTAGGCTCTCTTTATATATACATCTCTAGATCTACATTCCCGAGAGGGATTGCAAAGTTTCAAAAGCCTGATCCCTAGTTTGAAAAGGTGTTAAGATACTGAATAGACTAGGCTAGCATTGCTTGGAGTTTAGAAGGCTGAGAGACAATCTAATTAAAAATAAAATGCTTAAGGGGTTTGAAAGGCTGCTTCCCTTGGCCGGACATTCTAGAACTAGGGGTCACATTCTCACAATAGGAGTTGGCTGTTTTTGACTGAGGTAGGCAGTGTTTCTTCATTCAAAGGGTTTGGGAATCTCTGGGAATTCAAATTCTTGTAGCTATTCAGTTCTTGAGTATGCTCAAGATAGAGGTTGATAATTTCATTCATTCATTGAGAACTTTGTCTGAGGATGTGTCCTTTATTCCTTGTGTTTTGATGCTTCATTCTGGGCTGTTCTGGAAGTTTCTTTTTTGTTGTCAGTGGTAGTTTGTCAGCACTTTCCACTGTTAGGGGCTAGGTGAGGAGGGAAGTCCTAAATTTGCCTCAGCTGAAATGGGAACCAAACCTGCACTGTTGCCGTCATTCTGATCTAACCAAGGTATTTAGGAGATTCAGTACAGAGAAGCTGTTTCCTCCTGATGTTAAAATCTAGAAAAGTGACAGGATTATAAAGTTAGATTCAAACTGCTTACATTGAGAGGTTTTATTTATAGTGGAAGCCAAACGCGTTCCAAACACCCTGACCCCTCAACTCCCAAAAAGCTGTGGATGTCAGATTTTTCAAAATGGGATCTATTAATGCTTTGCTCAATAATCATTTGGTGCCCTTAACAAATGAAGATTAAATTGAGATGATGAGAAATCAACCACTATCTAAGCGAATGACATAATGGTTTACACATTGAGTTGGTTGAAGGGAGAGCCTCCACAATATAAGTGCTACATTGAATCTGGATTGGACGTGAGTAAATTGAACCTGAAAATCTGGAACTTTTTTTGGCAAAATGGAACGCAGAGAGGTTAAGATTGAAATGAACTTGCACTGAGTACTGAGCATGTGTGATCTCTAGGAAGTTGATAAAGGTAGAGGAAAATGGATGAGCAAGAATGGAATAGAAATTCATGATAAGTGAGTAAAGTCTTTTTATGTTGGAAAGGTAGGTGGGGAGAGAAGATATGTTGGGTTAGTATCGATTGGATAAACCATTAACCACCCCACCCGCAGTGAATTGAGTGGAAACTCTGGCCATGAGGATAGCTTTAGAATAAAAGCAAAAATGCTTGAAATACATGGCAAGTTCATCAACAGCAGATCAATAATTCCCTTCTTCTAGGAGCATCTTGCTTCAGGGGCTAAGTACAGAACTGTGTGCTTCCTCCAGCACTGCCCAGACTGCTAGTGCCCTAATGAAAAGCTACTTTGTTAAAGAAGCTGCCGTTCTTGTAATGTGAGATAAGTAACCTGCTCCCAGATGAATTGAAAGTGCCAGCTTGCAGCTAACCCAGCTGCTCTGTTTAAATGTGTGCAAACTAGCAATTACATCATTCAGCTGTTTGAATAATTTTAATTAAAAAGTGACTGTGTTTTTCTCAGATATTAGTAAATATTGTTTGTCTTGTTTTAAAGTTATCAACTGAAGCCCCAGTGCAATGTGCAAAATCCGCAAAATTTCTTTTGAGTCATGTAGACTGGTTCTTTGCTGTTTGTTGTAAGTAGTAGCAGCATCAATCCAAGTAGCTAACTTCTGCTCCTATGATGCTGCTTGGCCTGCTGCGTTCATCCAGCCCTGCACCTTGTTGTCTCGGATTCTCCAGCATCTGCAGTTCCTACTATCTCTAGCTAACTTCCTCTTTCTGTTTCACTTCCCTGCCACTTGTCTGCATCTCCAAATTAGTTTGTAAAATAAAAGGTAACATCTGGTGCCTTTGGCTCAATGTATAATACAAAAACTGGGAGCTGTTTGCCGTATAGTTCTGGGTTTGGACCCACTAGTCTCTGAGCTAATATTGGCTATTGGTAGCAGTACAATTGACCACTTTTTTTTTATAAGGAAAGAGAAGGCAAAGTCCACCCTGGTACCTAAACACGGTTTCTATCCAGTGATCATAGAATCACAGAAGAGAAGCTAGAACATAAATCCCTACAGTGTGGAAAGAGGCCATTCGGTCCATCGTGTCTGCACTGACCCTACGAAGACCATCCCACCCAGACCCAGTCCTCTACCCTAACACTGTAACCTCGCGTGGCTAACCCACCTAGCCTGCAAGTCTTTGGATGGTAGGAGGAAACCAGAGCACCTGGCAGAAACCCACACAGAGGGTTGCCCGAAGCAGGAATCGAACCCGGGTCCCTGACACTGTGAGGCAGCAGTGCTAACCATTGTGCCATCATGCTGCCCCTTGATGCCCTGATGGAAAGTGGGAAAAGAGCTACAGCTGAGGTAACAGACCGATGGAGTAGTGCATGGTCACATTTGGATTTGCACAAGAAAAGAGAACTGGAGAGCTAGCAACTCTGATAGGGACTTGAAGAACACTGGACTAATCAGTGTGTTTTATTTCCTTCAGGTAAGCGTTGCTGCTAAGATGGCCCAGAAGATGTCTTTTGGCTTCTATAAATATAACAACATGGAATTTGTCCGGATGAAAGGCCCACAGGGGAAGGGGCACGCTGAGATGGCAGTGAGTCGTGTTGCAACGGGAGACACGTCACCCTATGGAACAGAGGAGGGTTCTGATCCAGACTCCCCTTTGCATGAACAAGTAAGAATGGAAACGGTTGAGGGTTACCTATTGTGAATGAAATGTTCCCCTCAGTTCTGGCATAATTTTTACGTGTATGCAATCTACAGCTATTGGCTTTATTATTTATGTTGACATTACCTTGGTTCCGCCAACTGATTAGAAATTTCATGACCAACTGCGCTGTTAGCTGTGTCACAGCCACTTAGGTTAGTGGGAAAGAAAATCTTGACCTACAGAATGATATCAAACGGGCAGAAAAGTGACAATTGGAATTCAATCCTCAGAAGTGTGAAGTAATACACTTGGGAAGGCCAATAAGATGAAGGAATACATAATGATGGATCTGAGAAGTATAGAGGACCTACAGAACTTTGAAGGACCAATTTCATATCCGTAAAAGTATCAGGACAAGGAGATGAGATGATTAAGAAGGTATGCAGGTCACTTACATTTTTCTTTAACCTCAACCAATAAAGTAAAGAGTAGGGAAATTTTATACTGGAACTGTAGAAAACACTAGTTAGGCTGAGTAGTGCATTCAGACCTGGCTTCCTCATTACGGGAAGGATGTGATCGCACTGGAGAGGGTACAGAGAACCAATGCTTACATGAATGTTGTGAGGGAGAATTTTATTGTTGACAAAATGTTGCATAGACTGGGTTTACTCTCTTTGAAAGAAGGATGGCCAACAGGAGATTTAATGAGATAACAAGGTGTAGAGCTGGATGAACACAGCAGGCCAAGCAGCATCAGAGGAGCAGGAAGGCTGACGTTTCGGGCCTAGACCCTTCATCAGGAGATTTAATGGAGGCGTATAAAATTAAGGAGCCTGGGGAGGTCTTTCATATTCCATCTAATTCCATTCCTAGACAGATCAATAACCAAGCGGCAGAGGGTTACAGAGAAATTGAGGAGTAACTCTTTCACCTAGAGAGGATTTGAGACTCACTGTCCAAAAGGGTGGCACAGGCAGAAACCCTCATCAAACCTTTCTTTGTAAAAAAAAAAAGCTTGAATGTGATTTGTACAGGATTAAGGACTGAGATTTGAGAAGTGGGATTAAGCTGGATAAATCCTTTTTGGCTGGCATTGACATGATGGGCCAAATAGTGGCCTCATGAGATGTAAATGTTATGTTTCCATTCCTTTCTTTTTATAGAGTTAATGTTTACCTTCTGACACTAGTGTAAAACTGCTGCCCATCCTAGACACTATCTCACCTAATTGTCATTGAAACAATAATATTAAAGCCTGTGCATGGAAGGATAGCAGTAGATGGCAAGTTGGAAAATCTAGCCTAATGTGAGTGTTATCATAGTGCCACCATGTGGCACAATATGACATGCATATGAATTGGCAGAAGTGGGTCATTCAGAGCAGATAATCAGTTGATCTGATTATTCCAGATTCCTGCCTACCCTGATCACCTTTCACTCCCTTGATGATCAAGAATTCATCTATCTCTGCCTTTTGCAAAATATTCAAATTCTGCTTCCACTGCCTTTAGAGAAAAAGTTTGAAATGCTCACGACCATCTGAGAGAGAATTGCTTTTCGTCTCTGACTTAAATGAGCAACACCTTATTTTAAATCTTGTTCTAGAGTCTCCCACAACAACAAACCTGCTTTTCACATTTACCCTGTCAGGATCCCTCAGGAGTTTGCACTTGGGTACCTGGTCACGCCTTTCTATTAAGATAATACTGAATGAGATAGAGTTCCTGAAAGGAAGCAGCAATCCTGGAAAAAAAAAAGTCATCCCCATGGTATACTTTGGCACCTCCAGCTGACTTATCAAAACTTGAAGCTTTGTTACTTGCAATTCTGTGCACCACCATTAGGATAGGGTAGCCATACTTGTTACTTCATCTAGTTACACCCATTCTTGGCACGTCTGGACATTCGCTGTTCCATTTAAAAGCTACACAAATGTTTATGCTTCAGTTTTCTAATTTTGCAAGTATAAATTTGTGACATTAAAATGTCTAAAGTACAGCTGTAACTCTGTTAGAGTATTACTATTTCCAGGGATGCTACTAATGACCTTATGACCAGGTGATGGAAAAGGAGAAGGTCAACAGGAATTCCTGCTGCTGATTGCGAGCTAGAAATCCCTGCTGGAAAGGGCACGTGTGTCAAGCCTGGTTGAAAGCACGATTAGTTCAGCTCTAAAGTTTCCTAACTCCCCAAAGTGTCATGGAATGCTGTAAAGAGTCACAAACTCTGAATGACCATTAGTAGATGAAGTAGAAAGATGGGGCTTGCTGGCGACATTAATTTTAATCAGTGGAGGAGGACGTACCCTTTCAAAATACAAATTATTAGTGAAGATATGGGAATGTTTTCCAAGGACACCAGATTTTATTCTCCTCCTCCTCCTCATTTTTAGTTATCTCATTGGAATATGTCTTGTTAAAAATAAATGCCTACACTTTGCCAAAGAGCCTCTTGGTAGCCATTCTGAAGCATGTTCTACCATATTGTGACAACATCCAACTTGTAACATTGCAATTTCTCACCACCAGGGGGATGCTTCTCCTTCCTGCAGTGCATTTTGGGTAGGTTAACATTCTCCCCCACCCCCACCCCCAAACCCACCACTAGTCTGTGCTGTGTTTGCTGTGTTATGTGCCTTCCTTTTGGATAATAAGTAGTAGTTTGGCTCATAAACATTGCTTGATAATTATTTCACCTCTTTTTTTTCTAATCAGGAAAAGAAATTGACCTTGTAACTGGAATGTTGCATGTGTAGATGAGTAGGATTGATGTGTGAATGTTATTTTAACATCTTGTGTACAGCTCCCACTAATGGAAAAGCTACCAGGTGATACTAGAACCCTGCTGCTGGTAATAGCTGACCCAAGGTGTGCAGGCCAGAGATGTCAATCTGTTTTGTTTGTGTATAGTTGCATGCTGCATGGCACCTGCCACCCAACATGGTGACTGTCCATATGCTGTTGCTGATTATTTTTTAACTTCCCTCCCTTTCTTCCCGTTTGGAGCATTATTCAATGTATTGTGATGCTGACAGAACAACATAAAACCAGCAAATGTGATTAATTTACTTCTGAAACACAAACCAGCCATTTCAGTGAATGCAAAAGGCTTTCATTTTTTTTCTAAATAAATAGTTCTTACCATCGGGCATGTAATGTTATGCAAAATAATTGTCTTTTGAACACGTCGCATTTGAATTGGGGGAAAAAAATTACTTCTTTCCATGTTTAATATTTTGTCGCGATTAATAACTAAATCACTGACATAACTGGCATCTCAGGAATATTGAAACAAAATCTGGCTTAATTTGAGCATGAAATACTAACAGCTAAGACTGAGCTAATCCATGAAATCAGATGAATATGATGAAGGTGCAAAACTCAGTTCCTCGGTTATCTAGGTGCCTCACTCTGATAATTCATCTGGCTATGATCATTATTTGTGCAATCGCATAAATGTTTTATGTAGACATTAAAAAGCCAATTTAATTATTTTATGTTCACTGCTACTGAATGGTAGTGAGTTTTTGCTGGGGCTCCTTTACATACTAGATTGAGGGTTGCTCAAATGTATTTCATGTGGAACACTTCCAAGAGTAGAGGGCAGAGAAAGCAGATTTGTATCCTACCTGGCGTGGTCTGGATCTGAACCCATTTTATTTGAATTATTTTGTGCTATGCAACAATACTACCAATGACAGGAAATGCTAGAAGATATTGTCTGTTTATTCTCTGAAAGGAGTGCAGAGTCTTTAATAATTCAATGCGATTGTATTTTTTTTAAATTCCACCCTCCTTCCCTTCTCACTGACTTTCTCCTGACCACCTCCCTCCACCGTGTCCTCGTCTTGGAGAGCCCTGCCTACCTGTCGTCTTCTCGCGCAGTGCTCTCTCTCTCTCTTCTCGGTCTTTTTTTTTCTCACTCTGGTTCTCTTCCTTGCACCTTTCTTGAAATATCACGACATATAAAGGTCATTATTTTTGCTGCAAGGCTGGAGTTCTGTACTGCATTGTAATGAACTGCACTCTGACAGCTGTGATTAAGACTGCAGTATAACTGAGCTGAGTGCAAAGATCTGACAAGCCTTTCTCTGTTTATTAAATAGTTAGAGCAAGGCTGTGGTTTGTTTGCAGTTAATGCAGAGGCAAGAGCAGTCGGTTGCCTGGGTTTTCTCAGCTGTGTGGAGCCAGAATATTTCTCCTTCAGTGTGCTTCAGATTCTGTTGAAATCCATACTGAGTACTGTGCAATACAATCTCTGCACACAAGACCTTTTAAGTCAGATTTCTCCTGAGCTCAAGTAAATTGCCTGCTCTATAGTGATCCACGCAATGAATATTAACTCTCTGACTGTGTAACCACATCCTCTTTCTAAATATTTGATTTTAAATTTAAGCTCTGAATATTGCATTTGTTATATTTTTAAAGAAAAGTCTATTTTAATTTTATCAAAAACCAGCTCCTGGATTATTTAAGTTATTGTAAATACATTTATTCAGGGAATTGTATAGAATACTACTTATCCTGTGCATGTAATGGGCCATCAAGATGAGAAAAATTTAGTTTATTTCCACTCGTGCTCTTGGTGACGTGGCTCAATGCTCCAAAGTTTTGGTTTCAATTAAAGAGCATATTGAGACCAAATACCTAATTCGTAGCCCCAGTAGTTTCATCCATGACGGTGCAGCTAGCTGCACTTCATCACTGAGATCCTGAGGGCAGCTGCTTTGAACAGTGAAAATGACCTCTGACCTCTAGTATTTCACTACTCTATAAGGGAGGGGGAAGGGAATTGTTTAGATTCGGGACTTAAATGGCTGCACCAGCTCAAAAATAAAAGTTCCTGCTGATGCCCTTACTTTTGGTGAGGGCATTGCCAACCATTCCTGAAATGTGTGGCAGCTTTGAGCAGATTTGCAGTTGATAGCCTATTCCAAAGAGCCTGAGGACTAATTCCAGAACACACAGTCCGCTTCCTGATTCTCACTTGTGGCATTACTGGCACGCTGCAATGTTTCTGTTCACAAACAAACCTGTCATTAAATAAGCAAAATACGGTGATGTGATTGAAGTGAATGGGTATATTCATGGAGTTGTAATTGATTGTACTTTGAGAAAGCCTTGCATCTAAAATGGCAATAGCTGTGGTTAGACATGTAGAAACTAGGAGCTGGAGCACACCATTTGGCTCTTCAAGCCGGCTGTGTCCTATGATATGATATGCGTGATCATCCAACTCGGTACCCTGTTCCCACTTTCTCCCCATCCCTTTGATCTCTTTAGTCCCAAGAACTCTATCTAACGCATTCTTGAAAACATTTATTGTTCTGCCTCAACCTGTAGCACAGAATTCCACAGGCTCCCCATTCTCTGGATGAAGAAATTTTTCCGCATCTCAGTCCTAAATGTTCTACCCCATATCCTTCAACTGTGCCCCCGATTCTAGATTCCCTGGTCATCAGGAACATCCTGTGAACATTGGGCAATTTGCTGTAGCAAAAAATTAATGTTTATAGCATGTTATTAATATTCCCAGTTACAGCCTAAATTACTCTGTACCAGTAATGTTGTGTGGTATTTTACCAGATAATCACTGGTGGTACTCTACCAGTACATGGTACTGGGTAAGGGTTATTTGAGATAATTTGCTATCCGAAATTTTCTTTAGTCTCTGCTTTGTCTTGATTCTCTCTAGTGAATGGTGGGAGAGGCTTCACCACCCTGCTACAAAAGAGGATCTGTTCTTAGGTATTAAAAAAAGTAGTTTGATATGTGATAGCAATAAGTGCAATTGCATTTGGTGAGGAATGATTATTTTAGGAAGCTGGTAGAGATATGTCTGGTTCCTGCAAAAGCTAGTGTAAACTTTCTTGTCTCCACCCATTCTACTGATATCACAATACAATGGGAACCCCTTCAAAAATGTTATTTTACTCCATCCTTTCTTTCCCCCCACACAGCTAACGTGGTGCGCAATCATATGTGTAAATGATGCTATTATCATGGCTAGTACCTCTCCTCCCCAAGTCTCTGACTTCACACTTGCAGGTTGGCTGGATATTTCTCAGATATACTTACTTTAGACTTTGAAGAATGGCAGGCCTTCCACTTGAGCACCTTTTTAAACTCACTTCTAATCCATAGATAGTTTCTCTGCTGGAGGATTTTTTAATCTCCATATCCCTCATGGAGGGCATTCTTTTTGAAAGACATTGCCCGTTACCTTAAATGGAGGACCCTTATCTTCCTTCTGGAAAGACAGCTGCTCTGTTGAAATAAATATTCTCTTCCTAGTAATATTCTGGATTTCTGCACCAGGCAATCTCTCTGTCTAATTGAAAGATTTTGTCTTTTCACAGTATCCTGAATAATTAGGCAGTTTTGTCATTGACTATTTCCTGAATTGGTGGGCATTGGTCTGGCTTCCACGGAATTAGAGGCATCTTACCTCCCTAAAGTTGTGGCTCTGGCTGAAAGTCTTCACTCGCTCATTGTGACTGTTCTAATGATGGTCGACGGTCTATTGTGTAGATCTCTTTACTTGTGTAACTGCATGTACATCTACCGTTCTGAAACGGTCTCAACTATGGGAATCTTCAGAAAGTGACCTATAATATCTGTAAATGTAGCATTTTTCGGTGAAAGCTGAGCATTCTCCCTGCCTGTGAGGCATTGTTGACCTGCTGCCCTAATGACATGCCTCCAACGTTTTGGAGTAGATTTGTCTCCCTTTAGCATCCAAAGCGCCTAAATTCCGTGCACTCTATTGTCCATTTTGAAGTAGTTTTGAGTTTTTCTTAGGATCTGTTAGTGTCTTTCTGGTTTCTACTTCTAGCATGAGTTGAATAGCTCTCTCCAAAGTGTAAATCTTCCTTGGGCTGTATGAAATCTGATGAGGTTTCATCAAGACTACCAACAATAATTCTCTCTAATGAATTCTAATTTGAAACTTCATATTCAGTCTTTTTTTGCTAATCTGTAGAGGTTATTAATGAAATTATTGAAGGATTCTAGCTTCTAGGAGAATCTACTGCTAAATATTGCTTGTTCATGATTTATCAGAAGTTATTATCTTCAATGGTGTCTGTACTCTGATATTTTGCCTGTTAATAACATTGACCAAATCAGACTCAGTGAATACAATACTATATGGACTTGCTCGTCTTAGTCTGTTTAGATTTGAGGCAATGCACTTTCTTGAGAACTAATGCCTCCATGAAGTCCAATCTTGTTTGGTATGGTTCTTCTGTGACTGTGAATCTGCTAGGAATCTATTATTATCTTTTTCCAGTTCTTCAGAATGTTGCTGATTAATCTTATTACTGTAATGGTATTATTTCAACATTACTTCAAAATTTGCTGTTGTTTGTTTAAGATTGTATTTTAGTATTCACAAGTGCTGTTATAAATTAAATGACTGTAAAACTTACTAAATTCTGTACACCATTTTCTTCGTCAGCCAGTGTTTAAATCTGTATTGCTGCTATACTTTATCAAATTCTTCAATAATGCTTTAGATTACATTAAGAGCTATTCTGAAGCAATTCGCTGATTTCAAGCTTTTAAAATCTGTTTCTTTGTAATATTTATCTCTATCCCACTTGCTGGATTTTCCTGGCCTTTTCCTGATCAAAGTGGTGGATACCCACAGTTCTAGTGGTTTTCAGCTTTCTGCAGCTAGATGACATTTTCCCACTTCCTCCTGGGAAAACATCCATTTTAACCCAGTTATCATGGTCTAAAACACCATGAACTCTTCTACAAAAATCTCTAAATAAAATTCCCAGGCTGCAGCCTTCAAATCTTCCTGCTAAATTTGTGACTTAATTACTGATTCCTGGTCCTTTTTAAATCGTTATTTTCTCCTGACTTTTCTTCTGCAAGACTCTCTCTCTTGTTCATCAGATTTCTTGAAATTTGCTCACTTTGTTTCAATAAATTCACGAGATCCTCCCAATTTTTGTCACCCATGGCTATGCTTTGCTTTCTGGCACCTTCGTTGCCACTGCCTGTTCTAGAGCGAAATATCGATGGTGAAGGTGCTCATGGTGAGAAATAAGAAGTCTCTCTTTCGTATTCCCTTGCCTTTTTTTTTTCCTTTCTGGTTTGTATGCCATTTTACATAGTTATTTCCTTTTCCCTCGATGATCTTCCAACCCCTGCTCCTCCCCCACCCCGCTTCCCCCAGTCTCTCTCCCAGTCTCCATTCTTGTCCTGGAATTTCTGAGCTTTTGAGAGCTGACCTTGCCTTTGTGCTGCTGCTGTCTCTTTCTATTGGTAATCACATTCCAGGAATATCTGTATAGTGGGAGACAGAAAGACAGAGCAGCAAACTTTCAGGGAAATCTGATGTATGCAAAACCTATGGAGTTGTAATCGGGCACTTTAATGACCAAGTATGGCTTTTCGCTAATGTTAGAGAGCAAAGAGTGAGAGTGGAAAAGCACTAAACCAGAGACAAAGAACTGCGGATGCCGCAAATCTGAAGCAAAAACCGAAATTGCTGGAGGAACACAGTATGCCTGGCGGCATCTGCGGAGAGAAAAACAGTTAATGGATTCAGTGACCCTTGTCAGAACTTCGAACAGTAGAAATGTACTGTCTGAATCCTGTTTAGGAGAAGATTATTGATTGTACTTTCTCATTCCAATTAGAAAGCAGACATTGCTGGTGTTGGGCATGTATCTACAGGAGAATGCTTGAGTGACTTTCATAACCTAAGGTTTAGATTCACAATGAGAAAAGCAAGGAATGGTTTAAAGTAGAACTCCTAAATGGGAAGAGGAGTATCCTCGATGAGCTAGCCCAAGATTAACAGGAAAATATGTGCTGGAGGAAATGATTTTTAAGGAGATGGTTCAGATCCAGACTAGGTACATTCCAACAAAGGTGAAAAACAGTGAACAAAACCAGGCTTGCTTGGATGGCTGGAGAGATCGAGGCCCTGGTTCAATTAGGAATTATAAAATTAAATATTAAAAAAGGTACAAAAGACAAAGATGTTGAATTGTTGTGGGGAAAATGTTTGATAACATGATTCCAAAATTAATGATTTTATATAACTTTAAATTGCACCGTCCAGTTCTTCAGGATGGAAGTAAGTTTACTGCTTTACAAGTTCAATTGTAATTTTAATTATATCTAACATTACTAAAATTGTACTGTTCGAAAATAGACCGTCATAGCTCAGTGCAGGTAGTATCACACTCTCTCAAGTCAGAGGTAAAAGGTCTCATTCCCAAATAGGCAGCTGGGGCATGGTTTAATGCCTCCTCCAAGAAACAGCACCATTGATAACGGAGTGCACTGAGCACTGTTTGAAAGGCAACACGGGTGTGTGTTCCTAGACTGGGTCAACATTCTGACTCTGCAGCAAGTGTGCTCCCAATTGAAGTCAGCCAGTATGATTTGGAATAGTATTTTTGGGAGATGTTAATCATTTCCATGTCAGTTTTTTTTTTAAGAACAAAATAAAATTAACATGAAGCAGAGATCTCTCCTGATAGCGGGGTATTTTCCTGCAACAAATATTCACTCTAGTTCTACTGAGAAGATGCAACAACTTTGCCTCCAGAGCTTCCTCTGATAAGGCATGCCATACCCCAGCTAATTTCTGTATGAAGATTTCTCTCGCTCTCGGTCTCTCGGCTATCCCAGTGTCCATTTTAAATTGGTTGCTTCTCATCACCAGTGCTTGACCATAGCAAATAATCTTCTAAAAATTTTCTCAGCCTTTCGTTTCACTGTAATTAGTGCCAGCAATAACATTGTCTCTCTCATACTTTCTCATTTCCATTTATTAGAAGCCTACAATCCACTTTTATTTAGATATGTTTGGATAATACTGCTGGAACTTACGTCATTTTTTTTGGGTTCAACTTTAGGTAACTTCCTTCAGCACACCACCAACTCCAGAGCGCAACAATCGTCCGTCCTTTTTCTCTCCTTCATTGCGTAGAAAGACCCCTAAAAATCGGATAGCAGAAATGAAAAAGTCTCATTCAGCCAATGACAGTGAGGAGTTCTTCAGGCATGGCTCAGACAATGCAGACTCAGAAGGTGCACCTCTCTCTTCTTGTGTGGTTCCTTTTAGTTCCTTGTGCTTGCTTTTATAATACATTTTATTTCAGCAAATTGACCTTTTGTTTTACACTTGGCCAGGGACCTCGATGTCCATCACCAAGAGTGGTTCAATGGCACTACTGTTGGCCAAATCCTTTTTGTTTTTGCTCTTTATGATCAAAAGGTGAGAACTAAGAAGAGGGAAGATCCTACTTGAACTTATCCTCGCCCAACCCAACAGTTGCAGATGCATCTGTCCATGATAGTACAAGTAAGAATGATTACTGCACAGTCCTTTGTAGAGATAAAGTCTTGTCTTCACAATGAGGACATATTCCTTGTGCTGTGTGGTGGTACGAGTGTGTCAACTAGAATACACTCTGGTCTAGCATCTCAAAACTAGAAGAATATGTCCAACAATAGACATACCCAGAAATGAGGCTACAAACCTGTGACATAACGGAAGCAGACTGGGATAGACAGAGCATAATTATGCAACCAGTGGATTTGTCATCCTGTCTCAAGTTCTGAATGATGGTGGACAATCAAACAACTGATTGGAGAAGGAGGTCTCACTATTATCCTCCTCGCTGGTGGGGGAGCAACAGTGAAAATGGTTTTGCAATCACTTTCAGCTAAAAAATCAACATGCATGATTAATCTTAGCTTGTTCCTCAGATTCCCAGAGTCACAGATGCAAAACTTCAGCAAATGTGGTTTATACTACCTGCCATCAAGAAATAGCTGAAGGTATTTAATACTTCAAAGTCTCTGGGCCCTGATAAATCCCACTGCAGTTGTGAAGTCCTGTTCCTAGCCAGGTCGTTCCAGTTCAGCAAAACCACCGGCATGTAACTGACAGTGTAGAAAATTGCATGTATATGTTTTCCTAAAAATGATAGTAAAATTCTAACCTGCCCAATGACCAACCCTCTCGGTGATTAAAATGAAGGAAAATGTTGGTGACAGTCCCATCAAGTGGCATTTGCCTGGCAATAAGCTGCTTGCCAATGTTTGGTTTCGGTTCTGGAAGGACCACATGGCTCCAGAGCACGTTACATGTTTGGTTTGAATGTGACATGTAGCTGAATTCAAGAGGTAAGAGCACTGTCCTTGATACAAGGCAGCATTTGATCAGGTGAGGCATTAGGGAGCTCAATTGAAACTGGTATTGATGGAAACGGGGAAGAAATCTCTCCACTGGCTGGAGTCTGCTGTCTCCCTTTTGTGCTAGGTTTGGGTTATTGGGGGACAATCATCTGAGCCCTCAGACCTTTACAAGCGTTCCACTGGGCCCAACTACCTTCAGATGCTACATCAATGATCTCCTTTCATCAGGATATCGGAGTTTAAGGATGTTTGCCATTGATTGCAGTGTTCAGTCCTATTTGTAACACCTCAGATACTGAAGCCGTCTGTGTACATATGCAGCAAGACCTGGACAACATCCAAATTGAGCTGACAAGTAATACTTGTGTGTCAGATAATATCAGTTAATAACCATCCCCGACAAGACAGAAGAAAACCACCATGTCCCACACTCGCTCTCACCCCATAAGCAAACCCTTCCACGTTCAATGTCATTATCATCCTTGAACCTCTACCTTTCACACCCTAGGAGTTACTATTGACCAGAAATGTTACTGGACCAGTGGTATGATACATTGAGACCTTTTTTTTTCTCAATGTGTAACTCATCCCCTGACTCCCCAAAGTCTTCTACCATCTACAAGGCACAAATCAGGATTGTCGTGGAATACTCCCCACTTGCCTGGATGAGTACAGCTGTAACAAAACTCAGCGTCATCCAAGTTGAAGCAGGCCTGCTTGGCAACCAAACCACCCCCCGCTCCGCGCCCCCCCCCCCCCCCAAAAAAAAAAAACCGCGGCCAACCCTCTTGCCTATCCACATCTACTGCCTTGAATATTCACTATTTCAATAAAATGCACTGGAGCAACTCTCCAAACATCCTTTGTCTGGACCTTCCAGACCTGTGATCACTACTATTTAGTTTTTCTTGGTGTGACCTCCTTTTTGTGCTTCAACCTTTTGAGTGGGGAGGGGATAATGCTGACCATGCTACCCATGCCATCCAACCAATGTTTGTTTAAATCCCTCCAATTAGATTTGTGCCCATTCCACTGTTCTGAAATGCTCTTGACAAAGTTTCAGACACGTTTCCATGAATACAGGCCATCGTTCCACATTATTGAGCTACAACATTCAATACAGTTGATCACAAAATGGCCACCATTCTGGGGACTGTCCTTAATTCATTATACTCCTACATATCCAATCAAAGCCATAAAATCTCCACTAATGACCACCCTTGCCATTCATAAACTTGCACCTCAGCAGTTTCCCAGAAATATGTCCTTGGCTCGCTCCTTGTCCTCATTTACAGACTGTCCCTTGTGAAATCATTAATAGCCATTGGCTTGTGTGTGTGTTTATATATGTTCAAATATTACCAACCTAGTTTTCCGCACATTTCCACTGTTTATGGTATCAGACTGCTTTTCTGAATTTTACACGTGGTAAGCTCTATTAGCTACATGTTGGAAGATTCAAAACCACTGCTTCCAATTTGCAACACAATTTTCATTCCTTCATCACCAACTCCATTCTCTCTGGGCCCACGATCGTGGATTGAATGATGCTGTTTGGAGCTCTGTTTGATTCAGGACTGAGCTTCTGAATTTATGCCCTTTCCATCACAGCACCACTATATAACATCTTCCATCTCAGTCAGCAGCTCAGCCAATCCACTGCTGAAACCCTCATTAACACCTTTTGTCACTGTAAATTCATTAGTCCACTGTTTTTCTGATCCAAGACCCCTATGCCTCCCTTCACCCATTCTTGTGCTCCAGTAGCTTCTCATCCAAAATGTTGCCTCCATCTTATTTTGATGTTATTATCTGCACATTCACTGACTGACGTTAACTTTAAAGCCTTGCAGTGCCTCTAAAACTCTGATGTTCACCTCAGTTCTACATATTTCTCCCTACCCCTGCAGCTTTTCATTCCTCAATCTAAAGCCTGTTATGTATCCTCCGCAAACCGTACCTTAAGCCATCTGGTTTCATACTTCAGAATCTCCACTTCCCTCTCCTCCTCTTAAGACCCTCCTTAAGATATGAATCATTAACAAGAATGTGCCCAAACCCCATCATCTCTCCTCATCTGGCTCAGTACGTGTTTTAACTAATATGTTTATGAAAAGCCTTGAGATGTTTCTCTGTTAGAAATTATATTAATGCAAGTTGTTGGTAATATTGGTTTCCAAGACAACTCTGAGCTTAATTCCGCAAATCCACGGCAATTTATCTATGTTTTAGAAGAACCATTTCATAAGACTGCTAGCAAAAGGTACCTTGTAATAATGGAATGCCATTATCAGCTTTCTCTTATTCGAGGCCAGGGAAAATTCATTTCACAAAGGCATTGAATGCTGTTGCCATGGTTACTCTGACACCTTTGTTCAAAATTGTTGGATTTCATTTTGTGTTTTTTTTTTCTGTATTCTTTCTATTTAGGAATATAATCTGGTACAATAAATGTTTTCATTTTTAAAAATAAATGGGTGAACCTTTCCTTGTTCTGTATCCTTGCAGATATTCATGGTGTGTCCAACCTTCGATCTCGCTCTTTGTCTGGGACTGGACGGTCCTTGGTTGGATCCTGGCTAAAGCTGAATCGAACTGAAGTAAATTTTCTACTCTATGCACATCTCACCTACGTTACTTTACCAATGCATCGCATCACGACAGGTAAATTCTGTCAGAAATTCATTGATGTCTGCTCCACTGAGGCCAGTGAAAAAGGAAATGTGTTGATAATTCTGTATGAATAGATCATTGCTAAGGATATTGCGAGGGGAAAAAAAATGGTGACACTCCTTTCTTCTTCATTTTTCTAATTTAGATGTACTTCATTGATTTAACCAAAATAATGCCTCAATTCCCTTTCCCCAAACACACACACTGGTATATTTATGCTTTCGTAAGTCATCCACTTAAGGCAGAGATGAGGATTGTTTTCTGAGGGTGGTGAATCTGTGGAATTCTATACCGCAGAGGGCTCTTAAGGCTGGGTCATTAAATACATTCAAGGCTGAGATAGATTTTTTAATCAGTGAGGGGATCAAGTGTTGTAGAGAAAATGCAGGAAAGTGGAGTTGAGGATTATCAGATCAGCCATGATCCCATTGATTGGAGGACCAGACTCGATGGGCCAAATGGCCTACTTTTTGTCCTCCATCTTATGTTCTCATGAATACCTTGCCTGACTGTGGTCTTGAGCACACGGATGTACAAGGTATGAACTTGGGCTTCTTAAAAATGTCACAAGTGTGGCTGTTCAATAAGGTCTACAAGGAGCAAAGCTGCTTACAGACTTCCTGACTTAAAAATCTGTGCAATAAGTAAACATTATTCTAATTTGAATCCTGTTATGTTCAATATATTAATTCACTCTTTTATCTTCTCTTTAAAAATATGGATGTCTATAAATACAAACTCTTTAAATTATTTGTTATTCAAATCTGACCTATAAAATCACTCCGCATTTATTCTTTCTTTTAAAATGTTTTACGTTATTTATTCTTTTATGGGATTTCGTTGTTGCTATTGCCCATCACTAATTGCTCTTGAGAAGGCAAGCTGCCATCTTGAACTGCTGCAGACCGTGTACTGTAGGTAGACCCACTATGCTGTTACAATCTATTGAGTGTCCCCAACATCTTGCTGTTTATGATTTTATTTCCAAAATCTTCAGTTTTTTTTGATTTTTGATTTGCTCTACACATTTGTACATGTTATACTATACCAATGATCACACAGGCTAGGTTAAAGGAAGCTAGTAATAATATTGTTTGACAAGGTGTCCCATGGCAGATTGTTAAGAAACTAAAAGCTCATGGGATCCAGGACAATTTGGCAAATTGGATCCAACATTGGCTTAGTGGCAGGAAGCAGACGGTGATGGTTGAAGGGCCATTTTGTGACTGGAAGCCTGTCCCTACTGGCATTCCACAGGGTTCAGTGCTGGGTTCCTTGCTGTTTGTTGCTACATTAATGATCTATACATGAAATGTAGAAGGTCTGATTAGTAAGCTCACAGATGACATGAAAATTGATGATGTGGTAAATAGCAAGGAGGAAAGCTTTAGACTACAGGATGATATAGATGGGCTGAGCAGTGGCAAATAGAATGTAGTCCTGAAAAGTGAGAGGGGAAACATTTTGGGAGGAGTAATGAGGCGAGGGAATCCACATTGAATGGTACCGCCTAGGAGGTAGAGGATCAGAGGGATCTTGATGTGTCCATAGATCCTTGAAGGCAGCAAAACAGACAAGGGTGTTTAAGAAGGTATATGAGATAATTGCCTTTGTTAACTAAGGCATTTAACACAAGAGCAGAGAGATTGTAATGGTGTTGTATATAATATTAGTTATGTACCAGCAGGAATACCGTGTGCTGTTATGGTTGCTGCACTGCAGGAAGGATATAATTGTACCAGAGAAGTTTTCATTTTCTAGTGATTTTTGTAATCTTTTGCAAACACAATAAGTAAGTAGTTTCAAAGTAAAATAGCTTGCATCAACTGACTGAATTAGAACAAGATTGTAGTTCAGAAACAGTTGATTACCAAATCCTGTTAAGTGACCCAGAAACAGATTCCTGGATGAGGAATATAGAATTATCAGTTTCCAAGTTTCCCTGTGCTTCATCCTTTGACTCTAAGTAATGAGAAACTTGTGACCTCTTCAACCACCGTACAACATTAATTATGTTGTGAAATCTTAAGTTTTACATAATATTTGATCTTGAGCTTGTAAATGACTTTTTTCCCCCAAGAGTATTGAATCTGTCTTTCTCTCTCCCTTCAGATATTCTAGAAATACGGCAGAAGCCAATCTTGATGACATAGTAGAGAGCAGGCAGGCACTGCCTTACAAACTTGCAGCCAAGTGCCTAACTGCAACTGGATTCTTGACAATACTACCACCTAGTGTCGGGATGGAAGGGACGTTTATGAGAATACCAGCCAATCAAAGTGCCTCCTTCACCTGCCCACAGGATATCGCCAGTGTTCGTTTTCCAATCACATGGCATTTGTGTTTTGATAGAGTCCAGTTAGGAGCTGCTTCTTCCTAAGAAATTAATACAGAATGTTTCACGAATAATGTCTCAAGACAATTACTTTGTATCTAACAAGAACAGTAAAGAAGAACAAAAGGTTGGGGGGGTGGGGGTGTGCAGGGAATTATTTGCTGAACTTTATATTGACAAAAGACTTCAAGTTTAATCTTCAAAGAAGTTTGACCAGTAGGTAGATAGCACAGTTTTCTTCCCATATTCTATTCTTTGTCAAAGCAACATTTGATTTGCGCACTTCGATTCAGTAATGTAGAATAATTCTTGCTCACTTTATAAAAATGAGATAAAGGTTCAACAAGAGACAGGAATCACTGAGACCGCACAGTGTTATTAGATTTTATGGATCTGTTCTAGTAATCAGTGAGACTTGCTGACGGGTGGGGAGGGAGGGATGGTGGGGGGTGCAGGGGTGAGGAATGACCTTTCTTCAAGACCCAAGTATGTCTAGAGAGAGAAACATTTGGGAGATGTTTTTGTGCTGCTTGTATTCTACATGTTTTGAACATGTTTAGAAACTGTGTCAATGGATGTTATTACAGAATCCCTTTTCTGAGAATATTGATTTTTGCATGTGGTGAAATGGAACTTTTTCTATAATCCGCTAGCCTGGCTGATTACCATAATGGGTGTGATTTAAGTGGCGCACTCTCCAAGCCTCTCGTGACCTTAGGTCATTTTTGCTGTTAAGTTGATTTGTGCGATAAAGACTGTCCTGCTCTGAGAACCCAGCAGCATTGCATAGGTTCCATCAGCAGCCACCCATGGGGAATGCATATGGAGAATGCTTGAGTTTTAAAAAGAAATATTGAGACAAACTGGACTATAAAAATAAATGAATACATTAATTAAGGGAGAAAAGGAAATCTTTCCACCTCAAGAGTCTTAATTTTGTTTTTCACTAGCTGAAGCATTTTGACACCCACCAGTTTTGACATTCTCATTTCTTATTCTTTTCTTGTACAAAATTGAAGTAAAATCTTAGCCAACAGCTTGTTGGAATAGGGTTGCTGCAGCTATTTGAATTGTTCATCAAACCTATGTGCCAAGTTTTTATTTTTCATAATTCTATTCCTTCTATTATTGAGGAAAAATGATGACAGTGGCATTTGCTCTCATCTGCCCCTCTTCTCTTCAGGCTTTGTTTTCAGTGTTAATTATATCTGTTGTTGGATTAAAAATGCTTGCATGGCATATTTTTGCAGTGCACAGCTAGGATTGCCACGTTTAGTGTACCCAAGTGCAGACCAAACACCAAATAGGGACAGGAATGCAATTATAATCATGTCTTGAATTTGAACATTTAATGTGCTGTTGACTTATAATTTTTTTAATACCATTTGTTGTGGAGTTTGATTTTGTTTGACTAATATTTCCACATCGTAAAACATTAGAAATCTATGGAGAAAAAAATTGACTTCCTATGTTCAATTTGTTTTTTAGGAAAGCCAGAAATTTCTGAATGTGCCATTCCAAAACTGAACAGCTGGCTACACTGTGCAGAGCAAAATAGAAATTCTACTTTCTGTCTCTTTTTTTGAAGCATCCAGATGTTATGATGGAGCACTTGACATTTAGGTTAAAAGAACATAAGGTGATGTGGCAAAACTGTACTAATGCCAATCAGTGTGAGAGTATTGGGGATTCTGAAAGGGAATGTTTGACATATATATAAATAAGCTCATCCATTTCTCTACCAAAAAAAAACTAGATTGGATTTGTGATTTTTTTCTAAACAAGCTGTTGTGTAGTATATTTTTGTTTATTTTGTTATACGTTTACTATTTTCTGCTAATAGGTGTTTTTTGGAAAGGACCAAGTTTTGCATTTACCACTTGTGTTCTTTAAAGTCGTTATGGAGCCACAATGATGTAGAAAGAGCAAGAAGCCCAAGAAACAATTTATTTTAAGAGAAAAATAACTACTGTTATGTAATGGCTGAATACCAATTTAATTGACTCATTGTTTCAGTGCCATCTTTCCTGGACACAGCTCTGTGTGAAATGTTGATTTTATTTTTTAAATAGTTGCCTAACTTTCAGTCTGAGGACCACATTTCAGTCACCATGATGTGTGGCTGCTACATTTTTAATGGTAGGTGGTCAGTGACTCTCAAATCTGAGTCTACTCTGAATTTTTTTTTGCTCCAATTTGAACAGTGATTAAAGTTTATTTATTGCTAATTGCTGGGTACAGAATGCACTGCTGACTGAGCCACCAAATTTGTTTCATAGCTCAATAGGTGATCTAATACTGATTTTAAAACTATCCTTTTTAATATGTTGTTTTTTTTCTAGCAGTATGACACTAGATCTCTTTCAGTTTGAAAGACTGGTTTCCAACATTCTCAGTTCATACTTGTATCCTGCCAATGGGTTTGGAGACATGATAATTTAGCAAGAAGGTAACAAATGTCATTTTCTAAATTTAAAAAAAATCTTACTGTGGCCAGCAACAAATCAATGGTTGAAACCTTTTGCCTTTTGGCAGAAGGAAGAGTTTCTGTCGAAATAATTAAAAAAAAAAGTTAGAAAAAACTTGAAAGCTCAGCAGTTGGGCAGCGTCTGTGGAGAGAGAAAAAACTGGGTTACCATTTCAGGCCAATAACAATTCATTGATTATAAGAAAGTGACAGTTGTAAAAACCAACAAAATTGTCTCCTTTTTAATATAAAGGTTTTCCGGAACAATTGATTAGCTGTTATCTAGTTATACCCGTTGTAATTCCTGTTTGTTACTGAAGTGTAATGGTCTGCCCCACTGCAGTATGGTTGTGGAGGTATTCAATGATCATTTTCTTACACAGTACCCCCACTGCCTTTCATTGCACGTCTAAGAATTTTCCCATGGTCTTTTCAAAAGGCTTAAATTTCTAATGTTATATTGGCTTAATAGGCTCCTTGCAGAAAATTAAATTATGAATTCTCACAACAAGACAGTACAATGGAAATACTTGACAAGATCCATCTCCAAAGTGTGGGAACCAATAAGTATAGTTGAAGGAATGTTATAGGAATAGCTTTTCGAAATTGTATCAATTCAATCATTTAGAAACATTGAATATATCAGACTTGCTTATTGTATGGTTTTGAAAAGTTCATTATACCTGGTTGGAAGGTGAGAAATAATTAGTTCTTTGTTTTAAGCAAACTTTATTTTATCTTATCTTAGTTTCCGCTGTTCTTTATTTTTCTCCTCTCTTGTGTTTGTGCTCTCCACCACAACTATCCACCTTATTTCTATACAGGTGAATCTGTGATACCGTGTGATGTTTACAAAATGTAGGGTGTGATGAGCACAAATCCTGTTTCTCTTGTCCAAAGAAGTTCGATGCAACAGCCAAGAGGTCTTTTAAGAAGTAAAACCTGAAAGAGGCCCCTGGTGAAAGGTGACCTGAAATGTTAAAGTTCTGTTTTTACATTTGGGTAGTAGTGTCGAGTTCTGATTTAGATGAAAAGTCATTACATTTTCCCCTAATTCATAAACTTCAAAGTTAGATACAGAAACGTACTCTAACGTTTCTTATTCTCCTTTTCAGAAAGAATTAGAGGGTGGACTATAAAGGGCACAGTTTCTATAGCATCTGGCAAATTTTGAAGAAAATACCATTTTACCAACAAGAAGTTTAGCAATACATATTTGCAGAAACATTGGATGTTTCCTTTTGTTTCTTCTTTCTTTCAGTTGGATATTGGCACCTCATTATTAAGACAAAACATTTATCTGGTACATATTTGCGGGTCATGATGTGGAGGTGCTGATGTTGGACTGGGGTGGACAGGGTCAGAAATCACACAACACCAGTTTACAGTCCAAAAGGTTTATTTGAAAACACAAGATTTCGGAGCGCTGCTCCTTCGGTGAAAATCCTCAGCTTGTGATTTCAAATAAATCTGTTGGACCGTAACCTGGTTTTGTGTGACTTCTGACCATATTTGGGGGTGTTCTGATAATTGTTTTGCTTTTCATTCTTATCTTATTACCCGCAGGGTGGTAAGTGAAACACTCCAAGTGGAAATTAAGTTTTTTTCTTTTTATTTAACTAGTCACTTGAAACTCTCTAAGCAAGTAATTGGCTCTGAGTCCTAGCAGGGTATTGAATGGCCACTTTGGTTGTTAAAAATATACATTCACTACTTTTGTCAAATGCTGAGGTGCTTCTATAAACTACAGATGTTTAAACTACTTTTTCAGAACAAAAAGAAAAATGGATGCAAAATCTATTTTAGACAAAGAGGAGAGAAATTATAGTCAAAACATTTTTATCCATGTCATGGAGGTGACAAAAATGCTGAATCACTTGTTTGACCTGTTGGTTTTCATTTTTAAGTTTCTCCCATTTATTTGCAATGAAGATTTTTGCAATATATCGGAAGTAGATCAAAACCAATGAGTGGTATTAGATGCCGCAGGCAATGTGTTAGACAGAATGTGTTATGGAAGCCTAGAAGTGATAACCCAGTTGAACAAACAGAGACTTTTTCCAAAGACAGAATCTGCAAAGTAGAAGTTCCTAACTTAGCAGGGTGCACTGTGCATTGTTTTGTTTTTTGTGTTCAGCTATGATATATGGGCTTAAATTATAGTAACACTCCAATGATGTTTTAGATTAGTTGAAAGATTCAATAGGAGCATTCTATATTAAATGCCCATTGCACTTGCAACTTGTAAGCACAGGGCAGAATCATCTTATAAATAGGCATTAAGTGCCTCAACTTTATCCTGAACAATATTTGAAGCCTAGTTTAAAAAAAATCTTCTAATTTATATACAGTATCATTGTTCATTTTGTCTCTTATTATTTCATTGTTTTAGAGCTACTTTGTTAAAATCTTACAGGTTTGACAAACTTTTGGAAGACAGGTAACTTTGTCTTGGCTCAGTTATTCACGAATGATGCAATGGATTTTTCTGTTTTTCCAAAACCTTCCACAAGACATTGTTTTAAAAAAATATATGCTTAGGATGTTTTCTGATAAACTGCAGTCTGCGATTAAATTGTTTCTTTCTTATTAATTCAGGTTACACTACACTACTTCATAGCATCTGATATACAGAGTTTCTTTATGACTGTCACTAATGCAGAAATGTCCCTGAAATGTACTCCTTGCAAGTACTAGAAACCATTAACAGGAATGGATCAACTGTTGAACACGAGGGACCAGTGTATTGTGTGTGGAAAATAGCTGTTTACAAAGATCATTAGGCATTTGAGGCAAAATGCCACAATTTACCTCAAAAAAAACCTATGTTTCAAAAGTCAATGTATTCTGATAAATGAGATCTAAACATGCTCTGCTGCGTGTATTTTAATTAACTGCCTACGTACAACTGTCTATTTATTTAAATCTAAGCCTGGATGCAAAGGTTTTGAAGAAAAGAAGTATTGAGTAAAAGGGGGGGGGGGGGGGTGGTAGAAATTACAGCTTGTAAGGTTGGTGATGGGATTCCACAGGCCTTGTTGCCATGGTAACATGCTGGCTTGGTTAGGCATATAGAGCAGTGGCTCGTCCAACAGAAAGGTCACCCGCCGCTTACAGCCGCGGAATCCAAAGGGAGAGTATTATTAAAACAAAGTGCATTTCCTTAAGAGCTACAAATACTCAATTTCCATTAACCTTCACTCTAGGCAGCATTCATAGCTAATCTTCAACATTTCAATGCTGATTTCCGTTTTCAACAACTTGTGCTGGGAATAAGAGCAATGCTGAAGTTTATGTAATTTAAAAATAGTAGTAGTTTAATTTTCTTATGTAACCTCTGTATCCTTGGTCTTTTAACATTGGTGTAAAATAATTAGTGTTCTAATTGGCTTTTCAGAGTTCTTTTAACATTCAGATGTAGATACCCTCATGAGACACACTGCTACTCTGCTTTCGACTGCATAGTTTACAATCTTCAGTAGAATCAATGACATTTTGCAATAGAGAAACACAACTGGTTTCATCATCAAAAGATTAATTTATCTTCTATTGTGTTGAAGCTTTCATGAAAGCTTCAATCTGTGGACTGTGGAACCCAGGATAGGCTAGTCCTGCCTCAATTCATCAATACTGCATTACTGCTTTTGTTAAAAAAAAGTCCTAAAAGTCATTTTTAATTTCTTTGTATTTCCTTGCTTGAGAATAGACTGGTCTGTGATCCACATATTGTTGCAGGCTGCTATATTTAAGAACTGACAGTACCCTCAAGAAAATGAGCAGCAAAGAATAATTGGTATGATTCAAAAACAGTGCTGAGCGGTTTATTATTGTGATTCATTCTCCTAGGGCCTTCAAATTCCATGTATCAATAGCTCACCAATCTTCTTGTCTTCTAGCTTTTTTTTTATAGTAGCAAAAGCTTTACATATTTAAGCTTTCTTCCAGACTTCAAATTTGTCTTGTGGTTAACTGTGTTGAATTGGATAAAGGGAACAGATTGTAGATGCAGCTTTACTGCTGTTTGCTACCTAAATAGTGTTGGAGCCAAAAGCAATGTGTTCGACACATTTTGATTATAGGAATGCTGTCAAGTGTAGAATGTAGGCTTCAGTCTTCTATGTAAATGTACTATTAAAAATTCTATTGCTTCAGTTTAATAATAAACAAATGGATAAGCCTATTGTCAGTCTGTTGTATGATTTCAATAACATTGTAAAAAGGAGATGTTGAAGCATTGGAACAAGAAATGTTAAATTTACATTTTATGAAGTACTGTCAATAATATAGGAGACCTTTCTGTCTATTTTAGCTTGGACTGTAAAGGATCCTGTGCTGAATAATTTGTATAAAAGGAACAAAATGTTGGGGAGGGAATGTATAACGCAAATCGAAGTGAAAGAGGGTTGAAAAAAAACAAATGGTCTAGAAGTCTGTACAATAAAATTGTTTTCTAACAGTATACAGGCAATTATCAAAATGATAATACAATCGCAGCTCATTTTCCCCAACAGCAAGCAGGATACTTGTAAATATAAAACTGGTAGATCACTGCAAACTCTTCCTCTGCTGCCAAAGAAAGCATAATTTCTGTACAATAATTCTGCAAATCAAGGAGCATTCAGCTGTTGATAGTTTCTATAATAATGCAATGACCTAGCAGCAATATTGCTGTAATCAGTAAGTTGCATTAACAATAGAAGTAGATTTTATTCCTTTTATAGGAATGGGAGGTTTTCACTTTGTCCCTGGACCCTGTTTTGTCACCACTCAAAAGGATCATGGCTTACCTGAGACATAACTCCAGGTAACAAGGTGTACAGCTGGATGAACACAGCAGGCCAAGCGGCATCAGAGGAGCAGGAAAGCTGACGTTTCGGGCCTAGACCCTTCTTCAGAAATGGGGGAGGGGAAGGGGGTTCTGAAATAAATAGGGAGAGACGGGGTGGTGGCTAGAAGATGGATAGAGGAGATGATCGGTGGAGAGGAGACAGACCGGTCAAAGAGGCGGGGCTGGAGCCAGTAAAGGTGAGTGTAGGTGGGGAGGTAAGGAAGAGATAGGTCAGTCCAGGGAGGACGGACAGGTCAAGGGGGTGGGATGAGGTTAGTAGGT